TATTTGTTGTCTGTCATTGTAGCTGGGATAATTTTACTTATTAAAGCTCATATTAGCTCATAATCTTACCACTTGAAACATCACTAGCCCTGAAGCTGCTGGTAGACATCGCGGTTGGAATTATTAAAGGTTTTTGACACCTGAGAGACATCGTAGCAACTACTTTGTCTTTTGGAAGCGGGGGTGGGGGTGGGGGGAGGACCAGGGAGGATGATTCAACCACTAGATGTCGCTGAAAACAACAAATCCTTCACACTGTGCCTTTAAAGAGAGCTCAGATTAGTTGTAACTTTAGACATTCTTTGATAAACATTTACTTCTAGCTACTATAAAACAAAGACTGTGACAATAACGTATAATTTTTAAAAAATATATATTGTCACACAAACAGCATCATGTTATTTACACCACAAAGCATACCATGTAAATGATGACGTTTGCTAGGACAGGTGCGACGCTGCGAGCTCTATCCAGTTTTAAAGTTAATTTTGGACAATGTGTGACGTTCAGCCCATCTAAATGAAACCAGAATGCGTTGACAGAGAAGAAAATGTAGAAATGACTCAGCCTGAAACTGAAAATGTTGATTGAAGACAACAGAGCTGCTTCATGGAGGGAGAGATTCAGCTGAGTGACAAAAAAAATATCTGATGTCTTTCCTGACCGAGTATAAATGGGCTGAAGACGTGGCGGGCCGTAAATGATCATTATTCCTCCCTCTGCCCTCCCACAGCTCATATACAACAATAATGATAGCTGGATTTTTTTTTTTTCACTCAGCGATCAGTGTTGTTATGGTGAAAAGTCCGCGGAGGAAAACGTAACGATGGTGATGACAAAAAGACGTGAACATGAGCTTCATGTTCACGTTCAATAGGATCAAACCAGCTGCTCGTCTAGCTCTTTTAACAACAGGCTTAAAAAAATAATAATTTGAAACAAAATAACATGCAGAAGGAAGATCAAGATGTGCGACTCGAAGTATAAACCAACCTTTACTGTTTCGAACACTCCCACTTCAGCTSGTCTCCACAGCAATGCTTCAGGGGAGGGGTGCTCTGTTTGGCAGTGGGTTTCTCAAACATGCATGAATGAGTCAAAGCAGTGTTTTGTTTTGTTTTTGTTTTTTGATGAGGGAATGACATTTTAAAATGATACCAAGCTCAAAAAAGTCGATTTTGCATTCATAAAATCCATAAAAACAGTCTACAGTATTTTTACAGTAATGATTTTATAGTTGAAGCACATGTTTTTGTCTATGTCTAATGTTTCAATTAGCTGGGGTGTCCTGTAAACACCATTTGTTAAATAAAAGCGGCGTAAACCTTCTCTGCCTTCACACAAACACATAAAACCTTCACCGTCACACCGCTGAAGCCCTGATGTGCCCCGGTGTTTTTTATTTCAGAGGATRGTTTGCTTCTGTTCTTGATTAATTTAGTTTGACATTAGGAACCTTTTTATAGATCTGGCAGTTCAGCTGAAGAGAAAGATGACCTCATTTGCAAAGAAGTCCTTTTAAGCTTCAAATGAATCATTTGTGAGGTGGCAACTTCAGTTGTTTAAAGCAGGGTTCTGTGGAAAGTTGATGAACTGTTAACATCTTACCTGTTGTAGATAGCTCTTTGATTGACCTCACTTTGGAGAAAATATTTTGATTCTCACCAGACCGAGGAGCTAGAGGTTAAATACTTAACTCTTACACAGCAACTAATGAAAAAAGATATTTAAGAAATAATCTTTTTTCTAAAAAATTTGACCTCAGAATGAAGAAAAGCGAAGCCTGGAGCTCAGCGGTGATGTGGGCTTCAACAGTCTCCCCTGTCAGCTGGTCAACAAACTAGTCGCACGAGGATTCTGCTTCAACGTCCTCTGCGTCGGTACGTTAGGACTTCGGATCGGCAACGCGCCGTCTCGTTTTATTGTTTTTTTTAAAAACCTCCTCTGTGGTTTCTTTTTATTCAAGGTCAGACAGGAATAGGCAAGTCGACGCTGATGAACACTCTTTTCGGCAGAACGTTCGAAATGGAGGAAGCCAGCCACTACGAGGAGGAAGTGAAGCTCCACTCGCAGACGCACGAGCTGCAGGAAAACACAGTTAAACTCAAGCTGACTGTGGTGCACACCCTGGGGTTTGGAGACCAGGTCAACAACGAGCACAGGCACAGAGCTTTTACCAACTTTTCCACTTTGTATCCATCTGTTTAAATTGTAAACATTGTATTTATTAACAAAAAGAAAAAAATTGTATAGGTCTTCTGGACGGGTTCTTCTCTAATGAAACGTTTCGTCTCTCCTCCAAGAGACTTCTTCAGTCTGAGAGTTTCAGGCAAAATTCAGGCTTTTAAGCCCTGCCTCCATGTGACTGATACTCACATCACATGGCTATCGTTGACACCTAATTAACACTTATTGTTAACATGGGGTGGAGTGATACTGGCAATCGCAGCACTGTAGGAGGGGGACAACTGAAAACGGAGGCCTCTACCTCTGTTTAATGATGGACGGTCTTTCTTCACAAAAATGGCTTCTTTTACTCCTCTCTCTTTTACTCCTCTCCTCTCTCTTCTTTTACTCCTCTGAGAGAGGAGTAAAAGAAGCCATTTTTGTGAAGAAAGACCGTCCATCATTAAATAGAGGTGGAGGCCTCCGTTTTCAGTTGTCCCCCTCCTACAGTGCTGCGATTGCCAGTATCACTCCACCCCCTGTTAACAATAAGTGTTAATTAGGTGTCAACGATAGCCATGTGATGTGAGTGTCAGTCACATGGAGGCAGGGCTTAAAAGCCTGAATTTTGCCTGAAACTCTCAGACCGAAACGTTTCATTAGAGAAGAACCCGTCCAGAAGACCTATATAATTGTTTTCTTTTTGATTTTTTACCTGGATTACTGAGATGCATCAGGACATGTATTTATTTACCATTATTTAATCAGGCAAGTCTCGTTCAGATCTCAGATCTCTTTTTCAAGGGCGGCCTGGGCCTGAAGGCAACCCATCGTACATGTTTTTAGCCGTGGGGTAAACAGAGTACCCGGAGAAAACCTATGCAAGCACGAGAACATGCAAACTCCACACAGAAAGACCCCAAGTCCAAACCGGAGATCGAACCCAGGACCTTCTTGCTGTGAGGCGTCCACTGAGCCAGAATGCCGCCTAAAAATGATAAACTAGTAAAAAAGATAAATAAAAAATAAGAAGTAGGTCCTCTGGACGGGTTCTTCTTRAGTGAAATGTTGCGTCTCTCCTCCAGGAGACTTCTTCTGTCTATGAGTTTCAGGTGAACTCAGCCTTATAAGCACTGCCTCAACATGGACAAACAGGTTAGTCATATGCAAAAGAGGGCCATCGCCTAACAATATATCTATATTGTTCATAGAGGGTCATGTGCCCCACGTTTCACTAAAGAAAACCCGTCCGGAGGACCTACTTATTTTTTTTCTTTTTGATTTTTTTCTACTTGGATTACTGAGWTGCATCAGGACGTAAACTAGTAAAAAAATAGGAGTTTGAACCAAATTTGAGTAATTTTAATCACCTGAATATAAACGTCTCTGTGTGTGTTTGGCTGTTGGCGAAATATTTTGTGAACCACTGGGTTTGTTTTAATGAAACTCTCAGAAAATAATAACCGAATGAACGACTGCAGCTGATTCATTTTTGGAGTCATCTTGATTTAAGGTGGTCACCACAGTTGATCCATCTCCCCAAAATGGCAGTAAACCTCACAGCTTTACAGGTATTGAGCTATAATTTGGTGCGGRAGTGGCTGAGAGTCATCCCCAACGCAAACTCTGAGCTGTGAAAAATCACACACAACCTTTGTTTAAAACTTCAACATGCAAAGCTGGCGTTTCTTCAACCAATGCTAGTTTAATGTTTTACTTAACCACACTCCYTTCAAAAGTTTCTTACAAGTTTTATGGAAGTCCACAATGTTGTAGATTATGCATAATTTCACAAACAGATGAAAGATGTCTGCGGCTAATAAATAAACTTAAAGTTGTGTTTAAAATGTTAAGATAAGTGGTGGCTTCTTCTGTGGACTTGTTGAATTTAGGGATCGACAGCCTGTCTGGCATGTAAACTGAAAAAGTAAAAAAAGGAAAGAAAATCTTAATCAAGAGCCATTTGAGGGGTCTCTCTGCAGGAAGTATAAGAATCTGGCATTCTCGAGTGCAGAGCTTGTAACCAGGACACCAGCATGATTCATAAGCTGTTTGTAAATCTAATGAATAAGCCTTTTTTTTTTTGCTGTTTTATTCACAGCTACAAGCCCATTCTCGACCATCTCGACGCCCAGTTTGAGAAATACCTCGAGGAGGAGCTGAAAATCCACCGCTCCCTCTGCAGCTACGAGGACACCAGAATCCACGCCTGCCTGTATTTCATCGCTCCCACCGGCCACTCCCTGAGGGCTCTGGACCTCATCACCATGAAGAAACTGGAGAGCAAGGTGAGGAAATGACCCCGGAGCCGTTCCACTTGCTGCCCGTCYGTTCCCCTTGTGCCAGCAGCTCACGATACGGGTTCTCCCCGTCCAGGTGAACGTCATCCCCGTCGTCGCGAAGGCCGACGTCGTGTCCAAGAACGACCTGAAGATTTTAAAGAAGAACATTATGAACGAGCTGCTCAGTTACGGAGTGCAGATTTACCAGTTCCCTACGGAGGATGAGGACGTCGCAGAGCTCAACTCCTCCATGAATGTAAGCTGACACACAGAAATATTTTTTCTGTTACGGCCAGACTAAGAGATTTTTTTTTCATTATGAGAATAAAGTCGAAATAATGCAAAAAATAATTGTGTGGGAATGTACTTAGTCATAATATATAAAGAATAAAGTCAAACATTATGAGCATTAAACCATACAAGAATAAAGTTATAATATTACCACGACAAAGTTAAAATAACGAGATTAAAGTTGTAATATTATGATAATGTAGTCATAGTATTACCAGAAGAAAGTCATAAAATTAACGAGAAAAAAGTAGTTTTAATGAGAAAAAAATCTTTGATAGACAGCAACCACCATTTCTCAGTTGTACCATGTGTAGTCATCAGAACCACAGTCGTTTGCAAATTCACTTCAAAGTCCTGCTACTGATAATAATTTGATGCTGATGGGTTAAAATTTTAAGTATTTCCTTATTTGCAAAAATCATACCAGTATAACTTCACAAGCTGCTCAGCACTCCTCCTTTTAATGCAGAGACTTTATTCTGGTAATATTGTATTTATTCTTGTAAAAAAACAAAAAAAAAAACTCTTAGTCTGGCCCTAATACTCGGGGGTATTCATACTGAGGCATTGATGAGCAAGAATAACCGATAAACCAGACTGTGCCACACATTACAGAGACTGCCCCCTGGTGGGAGCATCTCGCTATGACAGGTGTAAAACTCTGTGACACAAGGGACAAAACGTGGTCCAACCCATGGGCCAATCTGTCAATCTGTRCATTTTTATTGAAAAACATGTTATATAACAAATTATCCCTTTAGAAACACAAATGAACTTTTAAAAATTATATTTTATGTAGCATTTGTAAAACATACACAACCTAACATGAAAAAAACATCTAATTTGGAAAGCTTTTTTATGTCATACTCTCCACTAACAAGTTTGTGACTTATTTTGTTTTACGGATACATTTCATCACAGTCCAACAAATCAAAAGAAAACCCTCACAAAAAGTTCAATTATTGACCAAATTAGATAATTAAAGTTGATTTGTTGTTTCTCTTTCCGCACCAAACTCAGACTATAAAACTATAAATATTCATGGGTTACATGTATTCCAGGATGAATACAAAACTAAATTAAAGTCTGAGAATGAGACGAACATCCTTCTGTTTGGACGTTTTACTAATATCTGTATCCTCTGTGTTGCAGACTTGTCTCCCATTTGCTGTGGTTGGAAGCACAGAGGATGTAAAAGTGGGGAACAGGATGGTGAAAGGACGCCTGTACCCCTGGGGAACAGTACAGGGTGAGTTAAAAAGCATCGTGAGTGTGTAGTGCTGATGTTTAGTCGGTTTGTTTTTCGTCAAACCACTGTGGATTTCTAGTTGCAGCTTCTTTTCTGTTTCCAGTGGAAAACGAGGACCACTGTGATCTGGTGAAGCTGAGAGAGATGCTGCTGCGTGTGAACACGGAGGATCTCCGGGAGCAAACACACTGTCGTCACTACGAGCTGTACCGTCGCCGCAAGCTGGAAGAGATGGGCTTCAAGGACACGGACCCTGACAGCCAGTCGTTCAGGTGAAACTACAGGCACGCTCTGGATGTGACTCATCCGCCTTCAGCAAGCCACTTCCTTTACCCAACTTGTTCTGGTTCTGGCTCATGGTGAACACGTCACCAGTCCATCACAAATCTATTTAGAGATGCAAAAAAATCCAGATGGCACACACGAGTGACAATTTCAAGTCACGTTTTAACCCAACATGCTTGTTTTTGGACTGTGGAGAAAACCCACATGTGCTCAGGCAGAACATGCAAACTTCCTGCAGAGAGGGAGTTTCAACCTTGCTACAGGGCAATAAAGCTAACACTGCACAGCTCTTATTTATCTTGCCCACACGAAAACACAGTTTTTCCAATAATCAAGTCTTCACCAAAAACAGAAACCCATAAAACGACCCAAAACTCTGTAGTGTAGTGGTCGTCAACGTTTTTCAGTCTGGGACCCCCGAAACTGATGGAGAGACGCAGGCTGTGAGTGGAGCAGAATCACCGGCTGTGACCTAGTCTAGGTGYGCCGGGTCCTTGTAGACCGGGAAGACRGGGAAAAAAAGAGGCTGTGAATTTGGACGGTCTAGCCTCCCCTCCTTACGCCGGCGTACGTCATGTGGCCTAGCAACTGTGATGACGCTAAACAGAAGCAAAAATTAGATCAAAATTAGAATAATATCAATATATTAGCATTATTAATATCACAAAACAATAAAATTAACTTAAAGGCAACATTTGAAGAACTAATTGACCCGATGTAGGTGCATGTTTATTTCGCTTTTTTTCTGACAAAAGTAATATTTAAAAACACGTCTATACAAATGATAAATGTATTAAAAACACAACCGCTAGGAAATGTTAATTTTTATATCACCATATTTTTATTTACAACGTATTCTTTTCTCTCGCTTCGTACGCCATTACTAGCATGAAAAATTTTCTGGTCGGGCCGCAGTGCGTTATGGGATACGGTGGGCCGTGAAGGATCCATTAGACCAGTCCTTCGATTCGGGCCAAAGGAAGGACGCATTTGTTGGCCGCATCGGAGGAGTCTTCGGTTTTGGACGGTCTTCGTCGCGGCGCTGTGATGTATGCGGCCGATGAATTTGGCCTTCGGAGGACCCGGCCTGCTGTTTTGGACACAGCCACAGTGAGCTTTTCTGACTGAAATACATTATGTAATGCCTCTGTTTATCAAATATTGGATTTCATGATGATGTGTGTTTAAAGACCCTGTTTTATTTTTTCAATGTAAAAGAAATGACACAACACCCCTGTAGTACCTTTGCAACCCCATCATTGAAGCCCTCTGCTGTGGTAATGATGCCAGGCCTGTGTGTGGCGCTGTAACACCGCCATGAGATTACACCTAAAACAGGAAACAAGCTGTGAAGCATAGAAAAGCTTAAATACTGGGAGCGTAATGTTAAAACACCCCTGGTTACTGACCTMTTTACAGTTACCAACAATAAAATCAGGCACTCAAATATATCTATAACTTGTTCCAGTGTTCAGTGTCAGCATTCACCTCTAGTCTTTTTGTCCTTCACACCTGCTTTTCTGTTGACTTTTTTTACCAACATAACTATAAATTAGTTTTATTGGTATTTTACGTTGTTGTGATATCAAAATATTCTCATTGTGCATTGATGTTGATGAACACTGTCTAAACTATGTTTATTTAAACATATTATAACTAGGCATGGATGTATAGTATTTAGACCACAATGCATTGCAAAATACTGACACTGCACTTGTGCATTAGTAATAATAAGGTCAGTTGGTGAGATTAGAGGTGGGACTCTGACTTGTATTTTGGCTGTTTACATGTGATGTTTTAAGATGTTTTTGCTAAGAAAACGCCATAATGTATTGTAATAATCAGAAAACCACTCATACTTTCCTAATGATAACATGTTGCTCGAGCACAATGTGGTTTAATCCCACCTGAACTTGTTTCTCTTAAGATTAATTCCACAAAAAAGAAAACATTATTTGTTATTACCCGTAAGTAAATGCCATGGTTTCAAAATAAAATATTTGTAGCGGCACATCAACATGGACAACACAATTTGTACAATCCACCACTTTTGACAAGTTTTTAAAGCCAATATATTTTTTAAATGTATACCTCTGTAAAAGCATTGTCCTGTTTCAATACATACCTATTCTGTGTTCTCTTTTGTCCTTTAGTCAAATAATCTAGTTAAAGTCATAAATTACAGCTGGCTGCTGCGCCTATTGCCAAGTCGTGCCCATCCAGGACATGATCCTAATGTCTTTCCTTCCATCTTCAGCCTCCAGGAGACGTATGAAGCCAAGAGGAAGGAGTTCTTCAGAGAGCTGCAGCACAAAGAGGAATCCATGAGGCAGATGTTTGTGAACAAAGTTAAAGAAACGGAGGCCGAGCTGAAAGAAAAGGAGAAGGAGGTGAGGACTCGTTGATTAGGAATGAACATGTTGGGTGCTTTATTTTATTTTTTATTTTTTACCATGCCTTCTACCCTCCTCCTCGCCAACCTTTAGCTGCATGACAGGTTCGAGCAGCTCAAACGTGTTCACCACGAGGAGAAGAAACATCTGGAGGAGAAGAGACGAAAACTGGAGGAGGAGATGAACGCCTTCAACAGGAGGAAGGTGGCTGCAGAGACTCTGCTGGGACACGCGCTGCAAGGCTGTTCACAGCAGCCGCTCAAGAAGGACAAAGACAAGAAGAAGTGAGTCGTTTCTTTGTTTTGACTTAACGGTACTAACTGAAATATCAAATGCTGTCATTTGATAGAGCTTATGCAGGTATGCACTCAGTATACACAAAGCACTTTTATCTGCACACTTAAGTCAATTCAACACATCTAACTGTTAATATAAAAGAATATCCGATATATATATATATATATTTCCTTAAATTTGGCATGATAGGACAAGGAGAAGATTAATGAGATGGTGTTATTTTTCCTAGAGGTCTTTTTTATCTGAGAGACTGATGAAACAGACGGACGCCGTGCCCAGACACTGTAGGAGGGGTCACAGCTCGCACGCCATAATCTGACGCTTATGTCTCCGCAGGCTGACCTGCCAGAGCCCATCTCAGTCAGGGGCTGTTTACGTTTATCTCAGTCTGTTTACATTTGACTCGTCTCACTGATGCTCATGCTGCATGGAGCGCAGCTGATGCCCAGACAAACCACATGGAGCCCCCCCTATTTTTTTCTCCCCTAGGTGTAATATTTAACTCCCAGGAGGATTTGCTTTATTTAAACAGGAAGGTTATTTTTTATTTCTAACCTAGCAGGGCTGCAGTTAATATTTTTATTACAATTTCATTCTGAGTTATAATCAGTAGATTATTTATTACCTAAGACTTGTTTTACTCCCCCGTTCCCCGCTGGCCGTCTGGGGATGGGGACCCGGGGGGTGGGGGATGACTGTCTGGTGGGGCCTGGACTGCGGGCGGACGTGGTGCTTGGGGGGGCTCTGGAGGCGGGGCTGGCGCTCCGGCTTCCCTGGGGCCGTTCGGGCTCCCGGAGTCGGGCTCCCGGAGTCGGGCTCCGGGTTGCTGTGGTTGGCCCGCTGGATGGGGTGGCTGCCGGGGCCTGGGAGGTGGTGGGTTGGGGGTGGGCTCCTGGCCGTTGGCGGGGTGTGTGGTTGGTCCGGGGG